GAGGGCTTTGCTAAACTTACTTTGGTCCAAGCTTATTAATTGCTGGTTGTCCTCTGAGATATAACAGAAACTCAGACCATCATCGCTCAGGAAGGTACATTGCAGCCTAAGGGCCTTCAGTTTAGAATTTCTGTTTGAATAGATAGTGTTCTCTAAAGACGGCTGTTGCAATATTTCCCACGTGCATGCATTTCTATGATATGACCTTGCCACTCTTTCTTCAAGAGGCAGAGTCTCTCTTTCCACTTCCTTGACTCTGGTCAGGCCCTGGGATTGCTTTGACCAATAGAATAGAGCTGAAGTGATGCTGGGCCAGTTCTAGTCATAGACCTTATTGGCCTCATAGTTTTACTTCCTGCCTCTTGGAAGTCAGCCACCACGTAACAAGTCCAACTACCCTGAGATCATCATATTGTGAGGAAGTTCAAGCTAACCACATGGAGAGCATGTGGGTCTAGTCATAGACCTTATTGGCCTCATAGTTTTACCTCCTGCCTCTTGGAAGTCAGCCACCATGTAACAAGTCCAACTACCCTGAGATCATCATGTTGTGAGGAAGTTCAAGCTAACCACATGGAGAGGATGTGGGGAGAGAGACAGAGAGACAGAGAGACAGAGGGAGAGAGAGAGAGAGCAAGCCATTCTGGCCAACTCCCAGCTGTTCTTGCCATCCTTGCTCAGGCACAGAAGTAAAGCCCCAGAAAACATCTAGGATAGAAGAACTGAGGTCCCAGGCTGATATCCCCAGTCAAGCCGCCCCAGACATTTATGAGTGTTCAAGTCACCCCAACTTTGCGTAGCATAGGCGAGCCATCCCCACTCTGCCCTGCCTAAATTCCTGGCCCACAGAATTGTGAGCATAGTCAAGTGGAAGCCAGTTTTCATCACCAAATTTTGAGATAATTGGTTGCAAAGAAATAGATAACTGGACCACTGTTGCCCTTGCAATATTTGCATGCTTCTTATACAAGTCTAATGAATGAGAATCCAGGCAAATATAGTATTTCAATGACACCCTGATTGTGGCATCTCTGGAAAGTCGACTTTATAAAGAAAAAAGGAAGTCCTGCTGTTATTTTTATAACACAAACCTTATACGTAGATTTAGACTCATAAATCCATAATTCAAGGCACCTATTGATTAATGTGTCAGAAATAGTGACATCTGTACAACACTCAATAACACCTCGCTGCAGTAGGAGACCACAATTTCCACAGAGCTTCTATGGGGTTACCACTTGTTCTAATTGAAAGCCTCAGAAAGGATTCTTTCAAGGGTGATCCACCCGCACTCTTAATTGTGTCACATCAGTTATGCAGTATTAGTGATTTCTTTTGACGCTTATGACTACACGCTTACCTACTAGCTGGAAAGAATAACATCGATTATTGATGCCCTGAATTATATGTCTGTTATTGCTTATGCCATATTAATAATAAAAATAGCTAACATTTATATGGTGTTTCTTATGTGTCA